TTAGGTGTCCGCCCCACAAATGCCTGCGCCATTCGATGGAGCATCCAGCTGCGGATGATTCAGTCGTTCATCCGGTTGTTCCAAAAAGACCCGTTATGGTAAAACAAACTCAAGTCTAATGTTGCTAACATCACCCTGAATCAAATACGGCAGCTGACGCACCTTGTCAGTGTGCTGACACCACTAGCAGACTTCACAGACAAAATGCAGAAGGAGCTGGGGAACCTGGGGATGATCCTCCCTGCTGTCACAGAAATCAAATCCCTGCTCACCGATTACACTCACGCTGCACTTCCAATGGGCATCGCTGCTTTTGCAGAAACATTGGCAAACAACGTGTCAATTCGCTATGGAATATACTATACTGATTAACATCTCATTGTAGCGTCAGTGTTAGATCCCCGTTTCAAGATAGAATGGATAATCCGAGATGAGTCTGTATGCAACAAATTCGGGGAGATAAAGTAAGGCTGTGGTTTAAGCTAAAAGTGAAATACATGCAGATTTTGTTCCTTTTTTGGAGTGAGCGGGGGGCGATTTGAGTGGAGCGCGATGCAAACTGCGTTGAGCGCTGAGCGATAATGAGCGGACTGGCCTGATGTGGCTTTGAGCGGGGGGAGCGGAGGGGTGAACAGCTCCGTGAGCGAGGAGCTGAGATTCTCACCGCTCCACTCCGCTCATATGCTCTGGTGGCAATCTATCATCAATAAGTCCACTCCTATTTATAGAGTTTATCTCGTGATCTCAACAAAACAAGGGATAAAAAAAAACTAATCATATGTCCTCTCTGGACTTCTGTACTATGACTCCGATATAGTTGGCGGGATGTCACGTGTCTTACTTATATTAGTACACTCGTAACAACCTACGCATTACGAAACTTATTTTCAATCAAATAAGCCACAGATAGCAAATAAGCCATATCATTTTTTGTTAACCAAATTTGACACTCTCATTAACCTCCATACAAAAACTCCTAGCTTGGTGAGAAAAAAAAAACAAAGATGCAACCTGACAGTTTGAAGTAGCTTATTGTCAATAAAGCAAAAAGAGACACACAACAAGTCCAAAATATAAAAACATCTTTATAAAAACATCTTTATTTCAAAATCACCAGAGGGCAGCCATTGACAGGAATGCTGAATTTAGTATTTTTCTTCAAGTCTGTCAAATTGATATACTGTACACACCTTTCACTCATGTACAGTAATTTTGTCAATCAGTTTCCAAATAGCAAGACTGTTCGTTATCTACAAACCATGAATAGTACAGTAAAAACAGTCAGTTTCACATGATGTGTATTTTATATAGTTTTATTCCAATAAAAACCTTTGAGTTTTAAAATGCTGGTGCTAGTTTTTCCTCCTTGACTTAGGTTAAATTTTTCAATAGGTTACATTTTTCAAGTCAGAACCAAGAAATCTTCAAGTGAAGCAATTACAAAAGTTTACAGAATCATATTTTTCTTACAAACTGTCCTATGTAAAGGTGGAAACTTTTTAAAGTAACTGTTTTCTACCACATCAGTAACTTGCAACGGCCTACATTCAATATAATGTAATAGATTATATATGTACTGTATATACCTTTCTACTTTGTATAAAATGTATTCAATCTATGTGTCAACATACTTATCTCAGAGGAAAGTTCTAAGTATATGGTTTGACTTTGAATCTGTTGAAGATGTTATTGGAAGACAGAGAGTTGTTTTAGGAGACTGTGTCTGCCCTAGTTGGGTTGAAGACTAGGTAATGCCCTAGTTGGATTGAAGACTAGGTAATGCCCTAGTTGGGTTGAAGCCTGGGTAATGCCCTAGTTGGGTTGAAGACTGGGTAATGCCCTAGTTGGGTTGAAGACTGGGTAATGCCCTAGTTGGGTTGAAGCCTGGGTAATGCCCTAGTTGGGTTGAAGACTAGGTAATGCCCTAGTTGGGTTGAAGCCTGGGTAATGCCCTAGTTGGGTTGAAGACTGGGTAATGCCCTAGTTGGGTTGAAGACTGGGTAATGCCCTAGTTGGGTTGAAGACTAGGTAATGCCCTAGTTGGGTTGAAGACTGGGTAATGCCCGAGTTGGGTTGAAGACTGGGTAATGCCCTAGTTGGGTTGAAGACTGGGTAATGCCCTAGTTGGGTTGAAGACTAGGTAATGCCCTAGTTGGGTTGAAGACTGGGTAATGCCCGAGTTGGGTTGAAGTCTGGGTAATGCCCTAGTTGGGTTGAAGAATGGGTAATGCCCTAGTTGGGTTGAAGACTGGGTAATGCCCTAGTTGGATTGAAGCCTGGGTAATGCCCTAGTTGGATTGAAGCCTGAGTAATGCCCTAGTTGGGTTGAAGACTAGGTAATGCCCTAGTTGGGTTGAAGACTGGGTAATGCCCTAGTTGGGTTGAAGCCTGGGTAATGCCCTAGTTGGATTGAAGCCTGGGTAATGCCCTAGTTGGATTGAAGCCTGGGTAATGCCCTAGTTGGGTTGAAGCCTGGGCAATGCCCTAGTTGGGTTGAAGCCTGGGTAATGCCCTAGTTGGGTTGAAGACTGGGTAATGCCCTAGTTGGGTTGAAGACTGGGTAATGCCCTAGTTGGGTTGAAGACTGGGTAATTCTCTAGTTGGGTTGAAGAATGGGTAATGCCCTAGTTGGGTTGAATAATGGGTAATGCCCTAGTTGGGTTGAAGACTGGGTAATGCCCTAGTTGGATTGAAGCCTGGGTAATGCCCTAGTTGGTTTGAAGCCTGGGTAATGCCCTAGTTGGGTTGAAGCCTGGGTAATGCCCTAGTTGGATTGAAGCCTTGGTAATGCCCTAGTTGGGTTGAAGACTAGGTAATGCCCTAGTTGGGTTGAAGACTGGGTAATGCCCTAGTTAGGTTGAAGACTGGGTAATGCCCTAGTTGGGTTGAAGACTAGGTAATGCCCTATTTGGGTTGAAGACTGGGTAATGCCCTAGTTGGGTTGAAGACTGGGTAATGCCCTAGTTGGGTTGAAGACTAGGTAATGCCCTAGTTGGGTTGAAGACTAGGTAATGCCCTAGTTGGGTTGAAGACTGGGTAAATTAACAACCTCATTCACACCTGAGAAACAAAGAGAAAAACAACAGAAAAAAGATGACAAAAACCAAACAAATATCTCCAGCTCTGTGTATTAGTAAAATGAAAGCACCAGTGAAATCTTCTTTATCTACGTTGAGCTGATTTAGATGCAGCCTATGCTGAGACAGATCAATACAACAGATGCCTAATCGATTACATTATTAGCAGTGCTTGAGTTGAACTGGAATAGGTGCCGCTACTCCTTTTGGGTACTGGTACTGTTTATATTTATTTTGTAGGAGCTCCACAATACTTTTGAGCTAATATTCTATGAGGAACAGGAGCTCAAGCAGTAGAACATTTGAGGTGCCGGTACTCAGCTCCAGTGAGCTCCTACTCAAGTAAAGCACTGTGTATTAGTGAATGGGCCTATTATTACATGGTTATGATTGACTAATGTGAGCATGAATTAATACTCAACATGGTTGCCCCTATCAAAAGCAGATTTATAATCTGTAGAGGTCTATTCAATACGTGATAGGCCTACAATATATGACGAAAAGATGCAACGTTCTGAGGAGTGTGTTATTTTGTCAGAGTTGAAGAGGAGGCAATGAGAAACAACAAAGGGTTTGATTGGTTTGGTATCCACTTGTATAATGTATTTAAGCCTGCATATGGAAAAACATAACTGTCAATCAATGCCCTAGTCAGTTAAAAAAAGGGTACAGATTTTGTTAGCACCAGTAACAAATATACAGTAATATAGTCACCATTTCTGAACAGGTTTTATGTGGTCTTTTTAACTATGTCTGTATAAAAAACAGGTCCTATTTAAAACACTCTGGAAGTCCAGACAGTGAACAAACATGGTTATCCAGATTCATATAAATTAAGTGCCGTTGACAATAAGCACCATAATCTGACACAATCTTTACATGCAGCATTTCATAATTGCTTAGGAAGCCTGGTTTTGTGTGAGACTGATATGTAATTTATCATTCTACAACAAAAAAACAACAACAAATAAATGCAGAAATACTGAATAAAGAGGAGAAGAGGTTTCACACAAGCTGTCTGATATATATCATATTGGAACGGGACCTTTTTCAAGTTATGAAAAATTAAAAAGTGCTTTTTCAATGTCATCATATATCTGTACACTGAACAAAAAGACTAAAACTATCCAGACCAAAACAAAAATGAAGGTAGTACAGTTCCTTCATGACCACCAATAGAGGAACGAGGAAGGGAAGGAAAAGCACCATGCTACATGTGTTCATTATTCTCACATAAAACGACATACTGTGTAATATGTGTAATATGTGGTTTGTTTATCGAAAGTTGCTGCTACAAATGGCACCATTATATAATTCAATCATTGATAAAACTCATCTTGTGAAAAGAGCATCCTTGGCTGAAACAAAGACCACAGAGACTTAACATGAGTGTTTACTAGTGTAAAATGCTGGTTGACAGTAAAATTGCAGTAAAATAGCCTTGCACCCATAAAAAAGAAAAGAATATCAGAATAAATAATCACATCTTGATTGTTCTTATTAATAAATTCCTATATAAAACCAGTTTAAAAACATCTTCAAAATTGGTTCTGAGCACCATCTCTTTACATGAAAAACCAGACCAAAATGTTTTATCATCATCAAATACCAAAACTCACAGTTGAAACCCCACAAACGATAGTCTTCCTCATCACTTTGAAAGCAGAGATGAAGAGAAACAAAAATAAACAGACAAACATTACAAAAAGTAACACTACGAAATAACACATAACGAGACTAGAAGTGTAATCTTGATTGAGGTAAGGCAATAGCACAGGTTGATGTGTGTGTGTATGGTGGTGTGTATTCAAATGTATTTGTCGTATGTGTCTGTGTGTGTGTGTACATAACAGTATCATCTCATGTCCAGCGGTTGTAGGGGCCCGTGACCTGTGTCAGAGCGTAAGGGGACACAGTGACCACCCCATCCCGCGGGACAGTCACCGCCTTCCGGGTAGGAACCTTCAACACCCCCTTCTTCTCCTCCGGGCCCTCCTCCTCTACCTCCTCCTCAGGCTCCATACTCTCTCCCCCGGCCCCCTTCCCCCTCTTCCTCTTGTCTTGGCTGACCTCTTCCAGGTCCAGGCCCATCCGCAGCCTCTCAGCCTCCTCCTCTCTCTCCCGCTCTCTCCGGGCCATCTTGGCCTCCCACATGTGCAGGCCGTGGTCGGGCTCGTTGAGGGATTTGTGCTGGTAAAAGACCAGGGAGATGCGGGTGGGGTGGCTGCGGTCGGGCCGGAGGATGGGGGTGGTGGCATGGAGCTCTCGGCGGGCGCACTCGATCAGGATGGAACCGTGGGAGGGAGCCACCGCCACCCCGCCGATGTCACTGTCCAGGAAGTTGTGCTCGCTGTCCGACCACACCTCTTCCTGTTCCTGTTTGACCTCTTTCGGGTTGGGGAAGAGAGGGGGAGCGGCCTGATGAGGGGGATGGGGGGCACCGTGAGGAATAACATGACCTCTTACCCCGTCCCTGACTCCCACCTCCCCCTCCGCCCTGAGGAGCCCATTGAGTCTGCTGTGGAGGCCCTCTGGGTGGGAGTGGGTGGAGGAGGAGGGAGGAGTGCTGTGGCTGTGAGGGGGTCTGAGGAGAGGGGAGCAGTGCACCTTGTTGGGCTCCGTTTTAAAAATCCTGGGGGGGTAGTCACCACCCTGGGGGACCCCTGGGGGGGTCCTACATCCCTCAGGGTCCACCAGCTGCTTTCTGCTGAGTCCTGGGGAGTAACCATTCACAGCCTCTTCCATTTCCTTGTAATGGAATGGGGAACCATTGCTCTGGGCCCCTGGTGGCCCTCTGTACTGGGGGGCAGGCAGGTCGGGGCGATGGGGGGAAAGAGCCTCCATCCCTGGTGTGGATCTTCCAGGAGGAGTGGGGTAGGTGGGGGTGCTGTGGTTGTAAGTGCTAGGGGAGTTAGAGTCTGGTACATAGGCACCCACACTTTCTGGTCTGTAAGAGCTGTAGAAGGACTGAGGCTCTCTTTTGAACAAGGGGGACTGATCCACTGAAGAAGTGCTTTTGAAACCTGTCAGGTTAAACATACAAACTGGGATTAATGATGAGTATTTACATAACACATTTCTCAAGCTTTTTCTTGTAAGAGAAATGCAGACAACATGGTTTTGTACCAACAATCAACCAATTAATAAATTAATCGACCCACCCCATCCATCCACCCACCCACTCAATCACCCATCCATCAATCAATTGATAAATCAATGAACCTACCAACTAACTGACTAATCATTCATTCAACCAACCAACCAACCAACCAACCAATCAATCAACCAGAGATCTCTACCTTTGTTGGCAGTCTCTGTCTTGACCTTGCCCGGGGTTAGTGGACTCTGTCTAGGCTTTCTGTCCTGAGCTGCAGCTTGTTTGTCAGCCTGGGCCTTCAGCTTGGCCTCCTGCTTCCTCTTACGGGCTGATTTCACCGGCTCAGCCAGCAGACGCACCTGGTGAGGATATAAACATGGTCATTAAGGAAAAGCTTTTAGTAGATGCTTTTATCAAGTGTCTTGAAGTAAACATAAAAATGTGACTCATGCAAGAATCAAACCCAAAACTCTCCTATTGACATGGCCTTGACAGACACCAACTCATTTCAATCCCAAAGGGCGCAAGGGTGACCAACCCTCCTCCTGGAGAGCAACTGAATGTGCAGGTTGATTAGTAGAATCATGTGTGGTAGAGCAGGGCTGAACAAAAGCCTGCACACCCAGTAACTCTATAGGAGGAGGGTTGGTCACCCTGTCTCATAGCCTCTTGGTTCTCCTGGACGCTACAGGGGGTACGAACAGATTTAGGGTGAAGTTGCCCCTAGATGCTGATCTCTTGGGTCAGTTTCACATTTTCCCCACTAATAAGGTTAGAACTGGGGGAGAAGAAGCTGCTCCTAGATCTTTACCCAGGGGAGACTTCACCCTGGAGCATAGGAACATACCTCTCTGGGGAAGGCTGAAAGCACCTGCAGGGCCCCAGTCTGGATCTTGGCCCACTGGCCATCGGCACTGGCAAACTCATCCCTCTGTGAGATCTTATAGAGAGGCAAGACGTGGAGCTGTTCGTCCTCAGGGACGTTACGCACCGCACGGTTGTCCTCCTTGGTTAAAGTGCAAACCTGCAGGAGGGTGAGACATTTTACATAAATGGAAAAGACTAACACAGTATCTGGCAGTTTCCAGGATAAAATGCCTATCTAGGTTGAAGTGAAAACAGGTGACCAAAAAGGGCATGATAGCTGATATTGATTTTTGTTTCAACTTTAGAAACATGTTTATGATTTGATATTGACATTTGTCTAAGATATGTTCATTAATATATTTAAAAAATATATGTATATATATATATATTTACAAAAAAATATATGGGGGATTGGAAATGATGCAGACAATTACATTGATGGAAGCTACAACTCTCTGCAGTATTAAAGCTGATCTATCCCCCCCCCACCCCCCAAAAAATATAGGTCCATTAACGCACAATACACAACCACAAGCTATCAATGTCCATTAATATACTGGCACGCAATCAGAAGCGAGTGTGTAAGTATCTGTGTCTGTGTTTCTCCCTATGTGTGACAGTGAGTGTGTGTGTGAGTGTGTGCGCGCGATTGAGCGAGCGTGCGTACAGTATGTATCTGTGCCTATGTCTCTGTGTGTTTGACAGCGAATGTGTGTGCACCTGTGTGTGTGTCCATTGACAAACAGTCATGTAAGCAGCATACCACAGTGCTGCCATTGTTCATGTTCTGTGTGTCTTTGTGAGCGTGGGCGCAGAAATCCACACATGCCGTGACCCCGGAGAAAGGTCGGCCCGCCCTCCGACCCAGCCTGCAGTCCCGGCCCGCCTGCTCCTGATCCACCTGGTTTTGGAAAGCCTCTGGGGCCAGTCTCTGGTAGACAGGACCCAGGTCTGTAGCCAGGTTCTGCAGACGATTCTCCAGCTTCTCCTCCTGAACAGCACACAGACAGACAACCACAGATCAGTGGAAGAGTGGGACAAAAAGGGACAGGAACAGATGAGGGAAAAGGTGTTAGAAAATAAAGGAGAGGCCCCTGGAGAATCTGGGAGTGTTTCAGAGAATCCCAGTAATGTTTCAGCCACTATCCTCTGTCAGGCTTTGACTGTCGTACCCACCTGAGGCCACTAGGTGGTGTCTATTAGCCATTTTAACATGCCAAGAAGACTATTCACAGAGGAATATCGATTCTAAACCATTGTTTGTAAAGCTATAACAAGGCTTAGATTAGCAAAGTAAAGAGCTAGGGCCTAGGCATACAGGGAAGTGGCTAGGGTTCTTTTCAGACCAGGCTCTAAAATCTAAGTCAGGGGTGTCAGACTCAATTTCAGGAACGCCAAAGTGGCTGCTGGTTTTTCGCTCTTTCCCTTAAGCTAGTTCTGATTTTGACCAGGAAAACCAGGTATGTGGCCTCCCTAGCTAATCAATGACCTTAATTGAGCAAATAAGTGCAAGGGAGGAATGAAGACCTGCTGACACTGTGGCCGGCCCTAGAGGAGTAGAGTTTGACACAGTTTGACTGGAATGTCCTGGTCCTCACCTCCTGGGGCATGTCTCCCAGCAGGCGGTACTTGCGGGGGATCTTGCTGCGGGCGAACTTGCAGCCGTTGAAGTACATACTCCAGGAGCAGCCGAAAGAGAACGAGGCGCCACAAGTGTCCGGGTCCAAACCCTGGCACGCACACGTCCGACTGGAGAGACAGAAAGAGGGAGAGAGATGGGGAGAGGGGGAAGAAGAGGTGAGACAATCCGTTTAGATCCTGGCAACTGAAGAGAGAGAGGGAGAGAGTCAGGTCACTAAATGCTAGAAAGGAAAGAATTCACTCCTTTGTTATATACATTCTTTATTTTTATTTTTTATTTTTTAATTTAACCTTTATTTAACCAGGTAAAAACAACAACAACAACACATAGTTACATATGGAATAAACAAAACATACAGTCAATAACACAATAGAAAATCTATATACAGTGTGTGCAAATGTAGTAAGTTATGGAGGTAAGGCCATAATGCAAAATAATTATAATTACAATTTAGTATTAACACTGGAGTTATAGATGTGCAGAAGATGATGTGCAAATAGAGATACTGGGGTGCAAATGAGCAAAAATAAATAACAATGTAAATAACAATATGGGGATGAGATTCTTTGTTCTTTGTTGTATGAATGTACATTTGTATGTGTAAGCCTGTTATTGAATAATACGCATAGGTCTGTTGTTTCAGTAACTTACTCCTCGTTGAGGGCGCAGCGTCGGCTGGTCGGGGAGCCGTATTTACAGAGGGTCTGGGTGAGCTCCTGGTACAGACTGTCTGCCACCCCCCGGGGGATGCCCTCCCATGCCAGGATGAGGATCACCACCACGGCACTCTCACAGTGGTGCCCTGCTCGGTGTCTCACCAGACACAGCAGCTTCTCCTCCTCACTGCCCCGACGGATCACCTGGGGGGAGAGAGAAGGTTTACTACACAGACATGCAGATATGTATACACACACACACACACAGCCATATACGCACCCATACACATTCAGACGCAGCAGTGTACACACAGGCACGCTGGCACGCATACACACACACACACACACACACAGGAGGTACTTACCCACTTGGCGATGGGACAACCCTGGGAACTGCGTCCTTCTTTCCCAGTGTACACCACCACCTCCATCCTTACTGCCTTCCCTTTCTCTCCATACCTTTGAACATACACAGCAATAACATACAGAGACAGATTATTGCAGGGGCATACCGGGGATGAAGCCACTGGGCTCAGGCCCGTGGGGGGCCCAAGAGGAGTCAAAAAACAAAACAAAAAATATATATATACAGTACCAGTCAAAAGTTTGGACACACCTACTCCTTCAAGGGTTTTTCTTTATTTTTACTATTTTCTACATTGTATAATAATAGTGAAGACATCAAAACTATGAAATAACACATATGGAATCATGTAGTAACCAAAAAATGTGTTAAACAAATCCAAATATATTTTATATTTGAGATTCTTCAAAAAGCCACCCTTTGCCTTGATGACAGCTTTGCACACTCTTGGCATTCTCTCAACCAGCTTCACCTGGAATGCTTTTCCAACAGTCTTGAAGGAGTTCCCACATATTCTGAGCACTTGCTTTTCCTTCACTCTGCGGTCTGACTCATCCCAAACCATCTCAATTGAGTTGAGGTCTGGGGAGTGTGGAGACCAGGTCATCTGATGCAGCACTCCATCACTCTCCTTCTTGGTAAAATAGCCCTTACACAGCCTGGAGGTGTGTTGGGTCATTGTCCTGTTGAAAAACAAATGATAGCCCCACTAAGCCCAAACCAGATGGGATGGCGTATCGCTGCAGAATGCTGTTGTAGCCATGCTGGTTAAGTGTGCCTTGAATTCTAAATAAATCACAGACAGTGTCACCAGCAAAGCACCCCCACACCATAACACCTCCATCATACATTCACCCACACCGCATCTCACAAAGACACGGCGGTTGGAACCAAAAATCTCCAATTTGGATTCCAGACCAAAGGACACATTTCCATCGGTCTAATGTCCATTGCTCATGTTTCTTGGCCCAAGCATGTATTTTCTTCTTATTGGTGTCCTTTAGTAATGGTTTCTTTGCAGCAATTCGACCATGAAGGCCTGATTCACACAGTCTCCTCTGAACAGTTGATGTTGAGATGTGTCTGTTACTTGAACTCTGTGAAGCATTTATTTGGGCTGCAATTTCTGAGGCTGGTAACTCTAATGAACTTATCCTCTGCAGCAGGGTCTTCCATTCCTGTAGCGGTCCTCATGAGAGCCAGTTTCATAATAGCGCTTGATGGTTTTTGCGACTGCACTTGAAGAAACTTTCAAAGTTCTTGAAATGTTCCGTATTGACTGACCTTCATGTCTTAAGTAATGATGGACTGTTGTTTCTCTTTGCTTATTTGAGCTGTTCTTGCCATAATATGGACTCGGTCTTTTACCAAATAGGGCTATCTTCTGTATACCCCCCTACCTTGTCACAACACAACTGATTGGCTCAAACGCATTAAGAAGGAAAGAAATTCCACAAATTAACTTTTAACAAGGCACACCTGTTAATTGAAATGCATTTCAGGTGACTACCTCATGAAGATGGTTGAGAGAATACCAAGAGTGTGCAAAGCTGTCATCAAGGCAAAGGGTGTTTATTTGAAGAATCTCAAATATAAAATATATTTTGATTTGTTTAACACTATTTTGGTTACTACATGATTCCATATGTGTTATTTCATAGTTTTGATGTCTTCACTATTATTCTACAATATAAAAAATAGTAAAAATTAAGAAAAACCCTTGAATGAGTAGGTGTGTCCAAACCTTTGACTGGTACTGTATGTATATGTTCATTTTTTTCATATTATAATTGTATATCCAACCACAGGAGCCCGCTCTCAATGTTAAAAATACACCAGAGAGCATAATTTAGCCACAGAGGATCAATAGTTTATAAAAAAGAACTGTGGATTAAGTTTTATCACAAGCACATACAGGTATCTGCCAAAAAGGAAACAACAACATAAATTGTCTTAAAAGGGTGTTGCAGCTTCAATGCGCCATGGCAAATGCACCTAAACCATGCTAGAAAAATGCACCCCACACCATAACATATAGTTTGTATCCCTTGTTAACTCAAGTGTTTCCTATATTTTGGCAGTTACCGGTATGCCTACAGTCGGGAAGGCCGCAGTTTGGGCAGCATGCGCGCCAAATATAGGCTACAGCTTGTTGCGTTGTGGCCATCGACATATAATCCATAGAAGGGTTTTGTAACGCCTTACCCTGGCAACTTGACTGTTAAAGTCATGGGTACACTAGCAATGGATGCCAGTCCTGACTTGAATGGGAACGGCCATCTGTGGTTTATATTTATATGCTTGGTTGCGGCTGTCAGTTTCCTTTTGCAGATTTCAAAATACAATCGTGGGAAAAACATACAGTTTGGAAAGCAAATGCCTACTGCTGAAAAGAGAAGATGAATCTGTCTGTAGCCAATATACATTATTTTTCTCAACAACTCCTAATTTGTAGCTAACAGCAGCATTGTTTTTCAAAGTAGCTCATCTTGAGAAAAAGAACAAAGCCCCGGGGCCTATGATTTCTTAAAACGGCCCTGATAACGTACATCACATCTTCATGACATTTCACACTTCTCATCTTAGAACACAAACACAATCCTTTAAACAATGACATATAAAGCTCCCCTTATCTGCGACCACCAGCACAAAAATCTTGCAATGAATGCCAATACAACAACACATCACATTTTGAGAACTTCATCAAAATACAATGGGACAGTGGGACTGAACCATAGTTTACCCAACGGCTACTCCTCTGGGGATCAACAGCAGGGGTATTACAAGGTGGCCAAAATGCAGCAATAGTTTTTGGAATAACTGTAAAAACAGTTAAAAACCAGGCATTGAGGCCATTCAGCAGTGAGACTACAGAGCAGAGAGACTGTAAGAGTGTGGTTGTTGTAGAGGCTGTCATTTCTCCTCATGGGCCCCTTGACTCGGCCCTAGGGGTTTCCTGTTCTAACACGCAGGGTGTGTGTGTGTGTGTGTTTTTTTGTATGTGTGAATGTGTGTGTGTATGTGTGTGTGTACAAGTGTGTGTTTTGCCAGCGTGGTGCTGCTTTCCTTCAACGACAGCCTCTATAATATATGAGCTATAATATGATTGTAAGCCCCACCTCATTCCATGAACACCAAGAGCCCTTTGGGAGACCAGGCCTTTGGCAGGGCATATGGTTCATACAGTAATACATACAGTAGGCTAATAAGAGTATGTACCAGACTTTTAGAAATATATACAGCTACATAGAGTCTGGTAGTGGTACATACAGTGCCTTCGGAAAGTATTCAGACCCCTTGACTTCTCCACATTATGTTACAGCCTTATTCTAAAATTGATTAAATTGTTTTTTCCCCTCATCAATCTACACACAATACCCCATAATGACAAAGCAAAAACAGGTTTGCTAATTTATAAAAAATTAAAAACAGATTTTTAGAAACGTTTGCTAATTTATTACAAATAAAAAAACGGAAATATCACATTTACATAAGTATTCAGACCCTTTACTCAGTACTTTGTTTAAGCACCTTTGGCAGTGATTACAGCATCGGGTCTTCTTGGGTATGACACTACAAGCTTGGCACACCTGTATTTGGGGAGTTTCTCCCATTCTTCTCTGCAGATCCTCTCAAGCTCTGTCAGGTTGGATGGGGAGCGTTGCTGCACAGCTATTTTCAGGTCTCTCCAGAGATGTTCGATCGGGTTCAAGTCTGGGCTCTGGCTGGGCCACTCAAGGACATTCAGAGACTTGTCCGGAAGCCACTCCTGAGTTGTCTTGGCTGTCTGCTTAGGGTCGTTGTCCTGTTGGAAGGTGAACCTTTGCCCCAGTCTGAGGACCTGAGCGCTCTGGAGCAGGTTTTCATCAAGGATCTTTCTGTACTTTGCTCTGTTCATCTTTGCTTCGATCCTGACTAGTCTCCCAGTCCCTGCCGCTGAAAGACATCCCCACAGCATGATGCTGCCACCACCATGCTTCACTGTAGGGATGGTGCCAGGTTTCTTCCAGACGTGACGCTTGGCATTCAGGCCAAAGAGTTTAATCTTTGTTTCATCAGACCAGAGAATCTTGTTTCTCATGGTCTTAGAATCTTTAGGTGCCTTTTGGCAAACTCCAAACGGGCTGTCATGTGCCTTTTACTGAGGAGTGGCTTCCCTCTGGCTACTTTACCATTAAGGCCTGATTGGTGGAGTGCTGCAGAGATGGTTGTCCTTCTGGAAGGTTCTCCCATCTCCACAGAGGAACTCTGGAGCTATGTCAGAGTGACCATTGGGTTCTTGGTCACCTCCCTGACCAAGGTACTTCTGTCCTGATTGCTCAGTTTGGCTGGGTGGCCAGCTCTAGGAAGAGTCTTGGTGGTTTCAAACTTCTTCCATTTCAGAATGATGGAGGCCACTGTGTTCTTGGGGACCTTCAATGCTGCATAAATGTTTGTACCCTTCCCCAGATCTGTGCCTTGACACAATGCTGTCTCGGAGCTCTACGGATCAATTCCTTCGACCTCATGGCTTGGTTTTTGCTATGACATGCACTGTCAACGGTGGGACCTTATATAGACAGGTGTGTGCCTTTCCAAATCATGTCCAATCAAGTTGTAGAAACAGCTCAAGGATGATCAATGGATACAGGATGCACCTAAGCTCAATTTCGAATCTCATAGCAATACTTATGTAAATAAGGTATTTCTGTTTTTTATTTGTAATACATTTGTAAACATTTCTAAAAACCTGTTTTCGCTTTGTCATTATGGGATACTGTGTGTAGATTGCTGAGGGATTTTTTTTATTTGATCAATTTTATTCCAAAATGTATTCCACTGTATTAGCCTAGCTCTATAAGCCTACTGGTAAGCCAACCTGTGAGGCATTGAGCCACTCCTGTTTTCATATCAACTCTTAGCTTAGCAGTATTATACAGCCAATAGATTTGTCACGAAAACAGAAGTGGATTAGCACCTCACAGGTTTGCTGTCCCAATGGGAATATGAATGTATAAAGTAAAATGGCTGGGCCCCCAAGCTTGGTTATGGAATGGAATGGAATAAAATAATTGATGCAGTTTGGCTTGTTTTGTTTTTGTTGTTACCTGTTCTCCATCATCTCTCTGACAGCTGACACACTGGGTCCAGCACCAAGATGAGTGTAGTACGGACCCTCCTCCTTCTCTATGATTTGCTCTGTGGAGAGAGAGTCATTTTTAGAACGCAGCTTCAGCTTATTTCCGAAAAGCAAATTGTATGTCCTTGGATGTGACAAATACAGCACCAGTTAACCAGTAATGTATGTGGCATGCTGTATCATAATTTCCCAATGGATATAAAGTAAATCATATTCATAATCATCATCCTCATCATTATTATGTTCACCACCACTACCATCATCATCATCATCATCAGGGTGACTCACCCATGCACCCACAGGAGGGGATCTCAGAGAGTTTCTTAGAGGGGGTGTTGAGTAGGTTCTTAGTGGGCGTGTCCAGGAATCTGAGGGGCGATTCCAGGAAGCTGTTTACGTTGTGTTTGGTGGGCGTCAACTCCTCCGATAGGTCCAAATCGCCGTCAGCTGATGTGGACAAGATGGTGACCGGACCAGACCTCTCCACCTTGTAATACCCCTGCTGTTGACCCCCAGAGGAGTAGCCGTTGGGTAAACTATGGTTCAACACGGTTCTGTGGTTGTTAGAGTCTAAACTGGTGAAACTGGTGTTGGTGGAGCTAGCCTTTAGGTTAGCACCGTGCTGCTGCCCAACGTAGGGCTGCGATACCTGAGAATACAATCGTCTTTCATACTCATGTCCCTGTCCAACTCCTTGTCCTTGTAAAGGGTCAAGGTGACCGTTCAGAGGACCATTGTGGTGACCATTCAAATGTGACCACTGTTGGTTGTCATGACCATAACCTTGACATTGACCACGATCGACGGCTCCAGAGGTTTTGTGGTATTTGACCCCACTGTGGGTGTTGCTGTAGTAAAAGAGCTGTCGTCGTTCCTCCTGAGCCTCAGCCAGGTATCTCTTCAGATCCATCTGAGTCTGAGGCAGGAACAGGCTCCTCTTGTGGCTGAGCGACGATGTCTTCGGCTGGGGAAGAACCTTCTGGACCCTGGCTCTGTTGCCGTTGGGTGTCCGTTTGGACAGGGGGGTATTGTTGTTGGGGTTGTAGCCCTCCTCTTCAACCCCCTCCATCCCCTTCTTCTTCCTAGGTTTGGAAGGCGTGGTCCTTGGTTTCTTCACAGGGATTTTCTTGTTGTTGGGTGCTGCATGCTGGGAGTTGTAGTTGTACTTGATCGCCGAGACTGGAGTTCCTCTGGGAGGGTTGTTCTCAGAGTGCTGGGAGGGGTGGAAACCCTGCAGCTTGTGACGTGATTGGATGATGAATGCCAACTCGGCCAGTTGAGCTGCCACCTCTTCCTCATCCCTGTTCCTCCCGCTCTTACCCACCGTCCTCTCTGTTGTTTCCTTACTATTCCACTCCATGTCTTTCCGCTCTCTGAAAGTGCCTTCGGACCTGTTATGGTGAGAACCAACGTCTTGGTCTGCTCTCCTGTACAGGTGTTGTCCTGCTCTCTCAGTGCTGTCGTAGGGAAGTCTGTCACAGTCCGAGCTGGCTTCTAGCAGGTCCTGTAGGGACAGCTTGCCAGTGGCGGCGGGACTACGGGGATGACACTGGATGACAAGACTCTGTCTGGCCACCGGGGACCGTATGACTGAGGTCTGGTGCAGAGGGGAGCGTATGACTGAGGTCTGGTGCAGAGGGGAACTGATGACTAGAACTTTGTTGGGGAGGAACCCTGTAGGGGGTTTGACGTCCTGGAGAGGGGTGTTTCTATTGGATAAGTGCATGGAAGGTGAGGTGGGATTTTGACCAAGTGCGTCCATTCTAAAGGGTTCTGGGGGGTTTTGGGGGATAGATGCCAGTAAGGTTAGCGCCTCGATAGCGATAGCTTGGTCGTTGCTAATATTCCTCTCCTGCACCAACGACTGGATGCTTGGCAGAGAGAGATCTGGAGAGGGTTGCTCTCGTTTGACAATAATGTCAAGAGCCTTCCGTGGACTGATGGGAGTGTTTTTCAGGCAAAGGTCCACCTTAAAGTCCTCCGGCTCTGTTTTGAACGAGCGTAGCACCGGGGAACGAGAGCTACACAGCTTCTCCTCCAGCCCCTTCCTGTCTGTGATAGAGAAGCACACAACGGCTGCTAGTGTGGACAGAGCGTCCTCATAGACATCGTCATCATTGCCCCCTATTAGGGTGGAGGACTGGTCCGTGGACCACACCCACGGCTCCTCCAACTTGATCTTCTTCAGAGGAACGGCAATGGTTTCGTCCGGAAATGCATAATTGGGCTCAGAGCTGCCTTTGGGGTACGTGGTTTTTGTAGTCCTTTGGGACTCTAATTGTATTGTAGCCTTTTGGGACTCTGGTGAAACTGGAGCACCGTTGGTTTTAGACAGGTTTTCGTCAGCACCATTGTGAAAAGTCCCAGATGAAGAGTAGTGGTGTTGTAGAAGAAGTGCATCGTGGGTGTCCTCCAGGCCAGGCTCTCTCTTTATAAGTGCTGCTGGTCGGCCATCTAGGATTGGGGTGAGAGTGTGGGCGTGGGGAAGGTGTGTGTGAGGTATGTGACCCTCCTCGCCATCCTCCTCTGCCATCTGGACTGGGCCTCTGCCATTTATTGAGGTGCCCTCTGGAACCACCTGAGAGAGAGAGAGAGAGAGAGAGAGAGAGAGAGAGAGAGAGAGAGAGAGAGAGAGAGAGAGAGAGAGAGAGAGAGAGAGAGAGAGAGAGAGAGAGAGAGAGAGAGACAGAGAGAGAGACAGAGAGAGACAGAGAGAGAGAGAGAGAGAGAGAGAGAGAGAGAGAGAGAGAGAGAGAGAGAGAGGCCCATCAAATCTGATTAAAACCATGTTTGAGCATGGCAGAGATAAAAACAGCACAGTGCCAAGACTCTGCCAACTAAAGGCTTCTTAAACATCTCAAACTCATTTCCAAACCCTGGAGGGGGTTTTATGTGTGCCTGTTTTATGTAATGCTAATGAACTGTTCTAATTACAGGGAGCCTGGAGGTGGGTGGATGTCAGCTACTTGTTTACCTTGTCTGAACTGTCATTAAACTCACCATTTAAACACTCTTTATAGACTACACAACCCAGCATGCACTCTCTGTTTTAAAGCCTCCAAGCCTACAGTACCCAACATGCCCTGTGAGAAAGGCCAGCCACCAGCCGTCTGGTCTAGGTCACATCCTACTTCTAGGCCACTACTAACACAACTGACTCAACCCTAGTTCAATTAGTTGAATTAGGTGTGTTAGTACAAGGCTGGAACAAAAATGTGGACTGGAGTTGAGAAACACTGCTCTAGTACAGGATTAACTGGGCTAATAAGACACACAAGGGTGTGTGCTACTGCTGTTACAGGCACAGAGACAGCTCTATCTCACAGAGGACCAGTGCAGCTCACATCATTATCACATCTCTGTTGCTGGGTAAATCAAGACTTGTCTATCTAATGGAGAAAGGACGCCCTTACATTACAGACAAAGAGCAGGCAGTAAGTATGAAGTGTGAGCATACCTCTACAGTGTTGGTTGTACTCTAAAACCTTACAAACCCTACAACAACCCTATGAATAGTCTGAGCTTCTACTGTAGGTCACTGATATTAAATTAGATTAGCAAGAGGGACATAGCTTACAACAAAAACAACAATAGAAAGGCGACATACAACATAAAATCATCACCATAAACATACTGTAAGAAAACTGTACTTTACTTTGATCAGAGCACAGTAATTGTGAACTTAAAACACTGTTTACACTTTCTCTAACCCACATACCAAACAGAACACTCAAGGGAGTCTGTCTGTCAGTTATGGGGTGATGCCTAGATAGATGCCCTCTTCTCTCCTTCCACTAGAGATGAGAATTATACACCATAATACCCTCCCAATGCACCATAGTAAAACCACTACTCTATTTACAGTCATATAGTATTTTGAACAACACCCCTCCTCTCCTGGTCTCGTGACCCTCCCTTACTACTAAGAGCATGCTGCTGCTGATGCAACTGATAGTGGGAGAGGAAGCTGAGGCAACATCTTGACTGCTGCTGAAATCATAAGAGAGAGAGAGACATCACAGAGAATGTGGGAATGAGCTACTATTGAGAAAGAGACAGAGCAAGAGAAAGGGAGAGAGACAAATAGAGAGACAGATACAGAAAGAGGAGGACAAGGGAGGAGAAATTGATGGAGAACGCAGAGAGAGAAGAGAGGAGAGGACGGGAGCGGGAGGAGAGAGGAGAGCGAGAGATAGAGAGAGAGGAGAGGAGGAGAGATAGAGAGGAGAGAGAGAGGAGAGAGGAGAGAGAGACGAGGAGGAGAGAGAGAGAGAGCAAAGGAGGGAGCCAAGGTAGAGAGAGAGAAAGAAATAGAGACAGATACAGAAAGAGGAGACAGTAGGAGAGAGATATAAATTGATGAAGAGAGAGAGAGAGAGGAAAGAGAGAGAGAAAGACAGAAAGTGGTAAAGGCAGTGTATCACGCTAACCTGCTTTTCATAACAAAGCAGTATTTGCTCGGTGCCAGCAGTGTGTATGTATCATAACATTTCACATAACAATACATAAATATAGTTGTGACATATACTGTGAATATGGGTGTCTGTAATTTTTTTGTAAGATATATATATATATATATATATATACAGTACCAGTCAAAAGTTTGGACAAACCTACTCATTCAAGGGATTTTCTTTTGTTTACTATTTCACTACATTGTAGAATAATAGTGAAGACATCAAAACTATTAAATAGTTGAGGTCGGGTGATTGTGGAGGCCAGGTCATCTGATGCAGCACTCCATCACTCTCCTTCTTGGTCAAATAGCCCTTACACAGCCTGGAGGTGTGTTTTGGGTCATTGTCCTGTTGAAAAACAAATGATAGTCCCACTAAGCCCAAACCAGATGGGATGGCGTATCGCTGCAGAATGCTGTGGTAGCCATGCTGGTTAAGTGTGCCTTGAATTCTAAATAAACCCCTGACAGTGTCACCAGCAAAGCACCCACACACCATCATACCTCCTCCTCCATGCTTCACGGTGGGAACCACACATCCGTTCACCTACTCTGCGTCTCACAAAGACACGGCGGTTGGAACCAAAAATCTCCAATTTGGACTCATCATACCAAAGGACAGATTTCCACCGGTCTAATGTCTATTGCCTGTGTTTCTTGGCCCAAGCAAGTCTCTTCTTCTCATTGGTGTCCTTTAGTAGTGGTTTCTTTGCAGCAATTCGACCATGAAGGCCTGGTTCACGCAGTCTCCTCTGAACAGTTGATGTTGAGATGTGTCTGTTACTTGAACTCTGTGAAGCATTTATTTGGGCTGCAATCTGAGGTGCAGTTAACTCTAATGAACTTATCCTCTGCAGCAGAGGTAACTTTGGGTTTTCCTTTCCTGTGGCGGTCCTCATGAGAGCCAGTTTCATCATATCGCTTGATGGTTTTTGCGACTGCACTTGAAGAAACTTTAAAAGTTCTTGAAATGTTCGTATTGACTGACGTTCATGTCTTAAAGTAATGATGGACTGTCATTTCTCTTTGCTTATTTGAGCTGTTCTTGCCATAATATGGACTTGGTCTTTACCAAATAGGGCTATCTTCTGTATACCACCCCTACCTTGTCACAACACAACTGATTGGCTCAAATGCATTAAGAAGGAAAGAAATTCCACAAATTAACTTTTAAGAAGGCACACCTGTTAATTGAAATGCATTCCAGGTGACTACCTCATGAAGCTGGTTGAGAGAATGCCAAGAGTGTGCAAAGCTGTCATCAAGGCAAAGGATGGCTACTTTGAAGAATCTCAAATATGAAATATATTTTGATGTGTTTAACACTATTTTGGTTGCTACATGATTCCATATGTGTTATATCATAGCTTTGATGTCTTCACTATTATTCTACGATGTAGAAAATAGCAAAAATAAAGAAAAACCCTTGAATGAGTAGGTGTGTCCAAACTTTTGACTGGTACTGTATATTTTTTACAAAACACACATACAAACGACAACGTACAGACACACACAAACATATGGATATGGGTGTCTGTTATGTACACTCAAATGTCTGCCTGTCTATCTGTGTGTGTGGGGGGGGGGGGTGTGCTGTTGCTTTGTTCTGTGCTTGTTGTGTCTGCCTCAGGGACTCTGAAAGGCTCTCTAAACTTTGACACACACACACACATTGTGACTCCTGTCCTAGCAACAAGACTATGACTGCTCTCTGACTCCTAACGACCCTCTCAGAGGAGAAGGGTTTCCAAGGAGGTTTCAACCGAGGGACTATCCATCCCTAACAAACACACACAGACATGCATCAATGCACACACACACACACACACACACACAGCTCCACATAGGGAGTATCCATCCCTAGCATCCCCAAACAGAGAGACAAGAAGCGTCTGCATATCAACAAATATATAATTATATGCCTCACACCATATACAATGCACTCCACACACAGAGACGCATTGAAAGCTCTCCCTCGCCCTCCATTTGGCAAATCTGACCATAATTATATCCACCTGATTCCTGCTTACAAACAAAATCTAAAGCAGGAAGTACCAGTGACTCGCTCAATACGGAAGTGGTCAGATGACGCGGATGCTACGCTACAGGACTGTTTTGCTAGCACAGACTGGAATATGTTCCGGGATTCATCCAATGGCATTTAGGAGTATACCACCTCAGTCACCGGCTTCATCAATAAGTGCATCGACGACGACGTCCCCACAGCGACCGTACGTACATTTCCCAACCAGAAGCCATGGATTACAGGCAACATCAGCACCGAGCTAAAGGCTAGAGCTGCCGCTTTCAAGGAGCGGGACACTAATCTGGACGCTTATAAGAAATCCCGCTATGCCCTCAGACGAACCATCAAACAGACAAAGCGTCAATACAGGACTAAGATTGAATCCTACTACACCAGCTCTGATACTCATCGGATGTGGCAGGGCTTGCAAACTATTACAAACTACAAAGGGAAACCCAGCCGCGAGCTGCCCAGTGACGCGAGCCTCACGGGTGCGTGCTTAGTCCCCTCCTGTACTCCCTGTTCACCCATGACTGCGTGGCCAAGCACGACTCCAACACCATCATTAAGTTTCCTGATGACACAACAGTGGTAGGCCTGATCACCGACAACGATGAGACAGCCTATAGGGAGGAAGTCAGAGACCTGGCATTGTGGTGCCAGGACAACAACCTCTCCCTCAACATGAGCAAGACAAAGGAGATGATCGTGGACTACAGGAAAAGGAGGGCCGAACAAGCCCCCATTCACATCAACAGGACTGTAGTGGAGCGGGTCGAGAATTTCAAGTTAATAATAAATAATAATATGCCATTTAGCAGACGCTTTTATCCAAAGCGACTTACAGTCATGCGTGCATACATTTTTGTGTATGGGTGGTCCCGGGGATCGAACCCACTACCTTGGCGTTACAAGCGCCGTGCTCTACCAGCTGAGCTACAGAGGACCACGGTTCCTTCGTGTCCACATCACCAACAAACTATTTTGGTCCAAACACACCAAGACAGTCGTGAAGAGGGCACGACAACACCTTTTTCCCCATCAGGAGACTGAAAAGATTTGGCATGGGTCCCCAGATCCTCAAAATGTTCTACAG